ATTTATATATATATATATAAAATAATAGTAATAAAAATATTAGAATAATTAAAACATATAATGAAATACTGAATAAAAATATAAACATAAAATTTAATTAAAATACATAAATTAATATAATAACATTATATTAGTTCTTTACAAACAAATGTATGACAAAAGAATGAATGAATGAACGAACAAACAAACATATACATACATAAGTAATTAAATAAATAAGCAAATAAATAAATACATAAATAGTTACAACCAATAATTTGCAATAATGGCTGTAAATTATACAGCTATTATGTAACTCAGATGCACTTTTTATTAGCTTTTTTGATGTCTATATTGCTTTTATTAATTGTTATTTCAGGTTTAGTTTCAATTTAAAATGCTGTAATACAGTCATTTTTTTTTTATTTTCCATCTAGTTTTCAACTGATTCCAAAACTAACTAACTAAATAATAATAATAACTTATTTTATTTCACCTAGTTGTCATTTTTTAGTTCAATTAAAATAACTAAAATGATATATATATACATATATATATGTACTGCCACTGCTAAACTACATATGATATTAAACAGTGAGCTAGATCTAATTAGCAACAGCACTGTTTAATATAACACACACAAAGTTACATTTGTGAGGCATACATTTATTTATTTATTTTATTTCCATTCAAAAAGAAGCATAAATGTGATTCTCTGAAAAAGTAGATCACTTTAACTTTTCTTTTTTTTAAAAAACATAATGAGGTGGCCGAGTATCCATTTGGCTCAATCTAAGAGTGTGGGTGTTTGGCTTTGGGTTTACTCAAACTCATTACTCGAATGTGAAGATTTCAAATAACTCAAGGTCTCTATCTGGTTTAGCACTGAAGGCCCTTGGGGCTTGATTTACAGCTCCAACTGCATGCAAACACCTTTAGCAGGTGAAAATCTATCTGTATGTCATTAATTACCTTGCAAAAAAGGGCTGGTTAAATTTCAGTCTTTAACTAAAAGCAGAGTAACCGGCATTGACTGTTTTGAATTTCACTCGATCTTGAGAAATCATATAGTAAGGTCATTGATTCAGTTAATGAATGAAAGATGATATATTATCAAATACTGCTGCAATTCTGATCTTTTTGACACACTTTTCCAAACAGTAAGTATTCCGCTTATCACTGTATGTGTAAGAGCTGCTGCTCCAGGCCTCTGTGAAGACTTTATCATTATGAAGTGTTGCCCCTCTGTCACAGCGGCGAAGCCTCGGGAGAATGGCCTTTCAGTGACCTTCAGATTCCATTAGCTTATCTTATCAGAAATAGTGTATCTTATACGACCCCACACATCACTACACAGACAAGGGCTTTCCTCGGCACAGCGTGAGATAAAACACACAAACGGACAAGGACGCACACAAACACACAAACTGACACAAGGTGGATAAGATCTTGCATAAAATCTCGACAACCGACCCGACTCGTATCTATTATTTGTCATCGGTGATTGTAAACAATGCGAGAGCAGAAAGTAATAACTGGCAAATATATGAGACTGCATATATTTTCTGTATAAAAATGATAGATGGACCCATGAACAACAATAAAGCAAGTGTTTATTAACTCACAGTAGGTTTTTCATCTTTTTTCATCTGTGAGAAATTTGAACGGTCAGTTCCAGCATCGACTCAATATATTTCTCTACAACTTTATAATCCACTGCTGGTTAATTCCATCACTGCAGATCTTGTCCTCTATCATTAAGGGAAGGTGAGAATAAAACGGCGCATTGGCTGGTAAATACATCTCTGGGGCCAAGTGATCTTAGTGAAACGCTGACAGTTTCTCTTACTCATTTTGTACAGAGGCTGTTAACGAGGGCAACTAGCCGATAATGTGCTTCAGTGAATCCTGCTATTTCCTGACAACAGCATTTGACTGTAATTCTTTAATTAACTCGCATACTAAGCCTTTTTGCTGTTCTGCTTCCTTTGACACCATATACAGTCTTTTCTTAAGCCAGTTTGAAGGACACTTGTGAATAATAGCCAACTTTCTTCTGCTAAATCTGCACCTTCTCTCTCTCAACCGTATAAAGCAACTTGACAACCAATATATTTTTTTCTGCTCAAAATCATAATACCTTATTGTACAAAGGTTTGGGATCAGCATGATATATCCAGTGTATATATAATATCAGGATTATATATATATAATACCAATATATATCATTAAAATATATAAAAAAAACAATACTTCTATTCAGAAAGTATGCATTAAATTGATAAAAAGTGACAGTAAAGATATTTATAATATTACAAATTATTTTTATTTCAAAATGATCATGTGACACTGAAGAAAATTCAGCTTTGCATCAAAGAAAATTTTTTTTATTTTTACAAAATACATTTTATATATTTCCTTTTCTACTGTATTTTGATCAAATAAATAGCCTTGCTTAACATAGACGATTTCGGTAACACTTTACAATATGGTTCCATTAGTTCATGTTAGTAAATGTGTTAACTAACATGAACAAACAATGAACAATACATTTATTACAGTATTTATTCATCTTTGTTAATGCTAGTTAATGTGAATACAGTCGTTCATTGTTAGTTCACAGTGCATTAACTAATGTTAACAAGCACAACTTTTGATTATAATAATGCATTAGCAAATGTTGAAATTAACATGAACTAACATTAATGAATGCTGTAATAGTATCGTTCATTCTTAGTTCATGTTAACGTTAACTAATGAACCTTATTGTAAAGTGTTACCAAGATTTCTTTCAAAAACTTCTAATCTAACCAAAAAAACAGTAAGTGAACTTTTGAATGATAGTTTATGATGTTGTTTGTCTCTATTTTTATTCAAATATAAAATATTCATGTTTTTTTT